TTTCCTTCATAAGTCACCAAACATTTTCTATTGGATTTAGGTCAGGGCTATAGCTTGGCCAATCTAATAATGTCATATTTTAGGTTCGAAACCAGGCCTCTGACTGCTTTGAACGATGTTTTGGGTCGTTGTCCTGCTGGAAAATCCAAACATTTCCATAGAACACGTGAGCAGATGGAAGTAAATGTCCCTCGAGAATATCTGTGTACCGCTCACTGTTCATATTCCCTTCAAATACACAGAGGGGCGTTGCCCCTAACACAGATATGCCACCCCACACGTTAAATTTCGGACTGTACTTTGAGCGCTGATACAAAGGTTTTTCAGTTTGTTTGGCCCAGAACTTCAGTGTATTAGGAAACAGCCAAACAGAACTTTCATCTGAGAAAATCACATTGTCCCAGTTAAAATTTCTATGCTGTAAGCACCAGTTCAACCTTCGCTCCTTTTGTTCAGGTTTCATGATCGGTGATGGAATTCCTCGACTTTTCTGCCAACCCATTTCATGCAGCTCAGTTCTAATTGTCTCCTTACAGACAGCCACAGTTCCTCTATCAATCATATCCAGGCTTAAGTTTTCTAAACTCCTTCGTTTGTTTTTAGAAACAAGAATACCAAGCCGCCTCCTGTCACCGACAGTCAATTTTCTGGGCCTACCTGCGCCTCCCTGGTGCTCAATGCCATATCCATTTGCAATATTTTTCAAAACACGATAAACAGTGGACAAAGGGATGCCTGTTCTACTTGAAATCACTTTAGCTGATCTGATGTCCTTGTTATCATACTCAAATCAATCAACTTCCTCTTCTCTAAATCATCCATACTGAGGATCACTGAAAATGTCGTCTGCTAGCAAGTAAACAAAGGGGGATAACTCTTCACAAACTAATGAAAAAGGATTAACGGAGTTGTCTCTCTTGAATGAAACCAAGCACTTGATTTATACTAGAAATCCAATTAAACATATTCCTAAAATTCTCAATAATTTCTGGTCATACCATAGATTAAAGCACATTAAAGTATTTGAAGCACTGTCGTATTCATACATTGAGGAGCCAAACTTTTGTTAAATTTGTGGTCGATGTTTCACGCAGTGTTGGAACATGATGAGGCATCATCACAAATGTAAAAGAAGTGTATAAAAGCCCCCACTGTAATCCCAGCTCGACAGGGATTCAAATGTTCACTGTGTACTTTGTCCATGGAATTCTTATGTGTAAGATAAAACGCGTCCGACGATTTTTACAAAATTTTACCGAGGGGTTATAGTTTAGGGTTTCAATTTCCATAGGAACCCTTAATCAGAACCCAGTGGAAGTGTTTTATGTAACTTATAAACAGATTAAATTCATCATCAGCAATTCATTAAGAAGTGTTGACAAAAAATGTAATAATTCCTTTACACTCAGCTCGTTTAAAATCAGAATATTCGGAACTGTAAGATATATGTGTATATGCATGTTCTCTTTCATGGAAACCAGAAATCTGCTAATAACATTATTCTTGTGTGGACCCGTGAAGATCCGGGGTAGAATAGCACTTCAGCAACCCATGCTTGCCACAAAAGGCGACTATGCTTGTCGTAAGAGGCGACTAACGGGATCGGGTGGTCAGGCTCGCTGACTTGGTTGACACATGTCATCGGTTCCCAACTGCGCAGATCGATGCTCATGCTGTTGATCACTGGATTGTCTGGTCCAGACTCGATTATTTACGGACCGCCACCATATAGCTGGAATATTGCTGAGTGAGGCGTAAAACTAAACTCACTCACTCATTATTCTTGTGATAGATAATTTGATGATGGAAGTGTGCAAACCCGTCTCCTGCTAAATGTAAAGTTGTACAGATGTAACAGAAGCACTCTCAGAGTGAGTGAGTGAGCGAGTAAGGTTTTACGCCGCTTGTAGCAATATTCTAGCAATATCACAGCAGGGACACCAGAAATGGGCTTCACACATTGTACCCAGTGTGACGAGCTAATGCCTTAACCACTAGCCTACCCCACCGCCCCGCATGTCCCAGAACACCGAAGTGGTCATCCTACAATCAAACCTTCGCTCAATCCTTGATTGTAACATTTAGCCGCTCAGATGAGGGTCCTCATGAGGCATAGAGGGTTAGCTTAAAACAAACAAAAACTATCGTAAACGTAAAGAAGTCGATCTTACTGAGAAAGATTAACGTTAAATTAACGTGCCATACGAAAATTACAACTTTAACCAATTACATGGCGGGGGACACCAGGAATGGGCTTCGTACAATGTACCCACATGGGGAATCGAACCCGGGTCCTAAGCGTGACGAGCGCATTAACCACTAGGCTATCCTGACTCCCCATTCCTCAGTCTGGATTACGTATGACCAAAGTGTTACAAATATTTCATTAAATAATATATCATAAGAATTATTGTTTCTGTTGGCTGGTTTTCGTCAAAGAGAACATGCATATACACATACATCTTATAATTCGGAATATTGTGATTTCAAAGAAGATGGGTGTAAAGGAATTATTGCATTTCTTTCTCTACTCTTGACCGCCTCCGTGGTGTAGTGGTTAGAGCGTCCGCCTGGAGAGCGGAAGGTCGCGGGTCTGATCCCCGACCGCGTCATACCAAAAGACGTTAAAATATGGTAATTTGTTGGTCCCTGCCTGGCGCTCGGCATTAATGGGTACAACAAGGACTGGTCGGCCTGGAGTCAGTATAATGTGTCTGAGTGGGGTATTCATGCTTCACTGCGGCATGGTATCTCAGCGGGCTAGCACTATAAAACCAGCTTCAGTCTGGGCTAGTACAAGCAGCCGCACATACACATACACACGCATGCACGTCGTCATATGAGCGAAATATTCTCAAGCACGACGTAAAACCCAATTTCACCTCACCTCACCGGGAATCGACCCAGGGTCTTCGGCGTTACGTGCAAATGTTTAATCACTAGGCCACACCCCACTGCCGTCAGTCAGGTTGAAATGGATAGGGAACATGTTATCCTGCTTAGGACCTCTTCTCTTTGTGTTGTTTACAGAAGTCTACAGTACTGTAAACCGGAGTACGTTCACGGCGAAAGGACCAGCTGGAGTGACAAATATGTATGGAAGGAATTCCTTGAACAGAATATGATCTAAAATTAGTACGCGGGAATTTGCGCCTGGAAATTGTAATAGACTCCTATTCAAGTGGATATATAATGACATGTAACAGCGGTGAAACAGTAGAACAGTTACACGTGTACGTCTATGGGCAAACGCGGGTTCCATTCGGTCACAAATCGTTGCAAGAACATTTTCGGACCAGCTTCAAACAGAACGTTTATCATAAGACATGTTGTGCCTAGTGAGTTTTTATGAAATGTTTGTAGCTCTAGAGCATAACATCTGATAATTCTTCTTTGACAAAGTTTCTGTGATAATGGAAGATATTCTCTTCAGTGAAATTCCCCCTGGACGTCAACATGACGCTTAAGTAATTCGCCGTGAGATCTCAGCGTCGTGGATGTATCCCTTTAGCTGCAGATCTCAGCACCCTTATTTCTGTCTATTTTATTGATTATGCTAATCGTACTGTTATTTGATTTACTTCATTGTTTGTGTATGACGTCAGCCTGCAGTGTACAATACCTTGAATGATTCACCATCTGTGAGTGAGTGAGTATGGTTTAACCCTTTGCTGTCCTGATTACAAGGAGTCTGAGTTGACGTGTTTTTTAAGGACGACAACGCCAGAACACAGGAGTCAACTGCAACCTCCATCAGCACAACATCCATAGAATGCCCTGGCCTTCAGTGAACCCGTACCTATCCCCATGGGACAAGCTAGACAGACGTGTGTGTTAAAGTCAAAGGCCGCCGACCACGTTAGCCGAAGTTCGACAGGAGCTGCAAGAGAAGTAGGACAAACTCGGCCAAATCGTTATTGGGGACTCATGAGCGTGGAGTGAATGTATATTTGACAAATCGTGGCGGCACTACGCACCACGTATCTAAAATCATCAAAAATCATCACCCCCGTGTCCGCTTTCACAACTTTCCCATCTCACAACCGGTTGGGACCCGGTGGGTAGTCTAGTGGTTAAAGCGCTGGCTTGGTCGAATGAACATCTACTATCATTGCTCACGTCAGTCAGTCACAACCGGTTGTAACGAGTTCCAAATTCATTTATCTGTTTTCAGCCAACTATTACTACAAACTAATTTCTCTTATAATTTTGGAAATTTTAATCATTCCTGAATATCTATACGTCTCTTTTCGAGAACATATCACTCAAAAGAAGGTAAAGAAAGAACACTGTTCTTTCCATCTTCAACTTAGACTACTGCACCCGTGAAGATCCGGGTTAGAATATTGATCTTCAGTAACCCATGCTTGTCGTAAGAGGAGACTAACGGGATCGGGTGGTCAGGCTCGCTGACTTGGTTGACATTTGTCATCGTTTCCCAATTTTGTAGATCGATGCTCATGCCATTGATCACTGTATTGTCTGGTCCAGACACGATTATTCATAGACCGCCGCCATATAGCTGTGATATTACTGAGTGCGGCGTAAAACTAAACTAACTCACTCACTCACTCAACTTCTACTGGGCTCACAGTTCATTAAACCTACGATAAAAGTATCTGCCCTTGATTTTCATTACCATTTACTGACCAATCACAACCACAGGAAGCATACCAAGAACTAGTGTAGGTAAAAAATGTGAACCATGCAGAAATATGGGGTGGATTCATTCATATAACAATAGTTAATGTGTCAGTTATATACTGAGGGAAAAAAAAAAGGGATCACATGAAAGCACAAGTGTTCCTATATATTTTTCCAGGTTTCTTCACAAGCCTTGTATCGATACATAGCTTGTGAAGAAACCTGGAAACAAATAAAGGAACACTTGTGCTTTCTTGTGATCCCTTATTTTTTTCCCTCAGTATATGTTCCCAAACCATATTAACCGACATTTGTAAACAGTTACATCTTCCAAACAGACCACAGATGCAGTCAAATTGAACATGACATTTTATTATTACTGTGGGGGGAGTCTTCAAATCCAAACAAAGACACAAAAAAACAAAAGTCAAAATTCACAGAAACATAAAATATCAACATCCACAGCGCAATATCTAGAGCTATGTTATCTATTGTCGAATAAATCTCCATTCACTTACAAAGATGATTTACAAATTCTAATGTTTTCCATCGAACAGATCTGATTTTTGTAAATCATTACCGCAACATGAACAGTTTACAAATCACTGTATAACATTTTTTTTGTGGGGAATCATTTTATGAAATAGCATAAATAGTAGTAACATGAAAACTCAAGGATTGGTCTTTAGTTAACCACCTTTGGATTGATACCAAATTGTCAAATTCTAAACAATAGCTTGTTTGGCTGGAAATAACATAATCAAACATCTCAGCAAACAATTATAAAAACTCAGTAATGGAGGACAAGCTTATCAAAGACCTGGTTAGATTTATTTCAGCTTATAAACAAACATTAAATGCTTTGAGTGATCAATTATTTTTCAAATGACTTAATTGTCTGGGAAAGACAGTTCTTGGTATCACCATATGAATAGTGTCTCATGGGTATAAACACAAAATTCAGTTACCTGATCCACATATCCTCCGTCATTTTGTACAGGTTGAAAAATACCTCCACATACATTTAGTTGGTAAGTAAACTTCACAATGCTGAGTTTCTAACTAATTGAAAAAGGTTTCAATTTATCAGGAGCAACTAGTATACATAGGTTAATATTCCTGTACATGTTTACAAGGGAGGCAAGTCGACAAAGGAAAATATATCCCACACAGATATTGACAGCCGATATAGAAATGAGGTACAGATTGGTGAAAACATGCTGGCAAGCTTTTATAAACAGAGACAGCCAAAGAAACAGATTGCATTACTTAGTGTATTGTATGCTGAGCCAAACATTTTCAACATATATATGTAAAGATACAGGTGGCTTGTTTGTGCTTACAGTTTTTAAAACAAATTCCAAAACCAAATCAGTGGCATTATTTCGTGAGTACTTATTAAATCAACCAAGAAACAGAAGATTAAAAAAGAAATCACCGTCTTTGAAAATGTTTGACAGCTTTTCTCAACATGGAAAATGTAGAATGACAAATAACTCATGCATAATAAATAAACAAGACTATGCTAGTAGATGAAACATTTGCATATACCAGTGAATACAATGATAAACCTTCAAGTTATCTACAATAGCACTTTCTTGCTGAGGTCTGCTTTTACTGTTTAAGTAATTTGCAGATTAACAAACACAATCCTCTGACGTAAGTGCAGAAAAGTCCTCACATGTCCAAATATACCTCAAGAAAAACATGGCTAACATATCTAAAACAAAATGCATTTATAAATATTTAGAGTAATCATAAATTGTCATCCAACTGTTGAAAATCTGAGTGTAATAATACTTTAAGTGACGCATTCATCTTTCTATTCTGCATCATAACTGTCATAATTTTATTTTTTCTAAATATCTGATTTGATTTGTTAAGACAAATTTGTCATTGAAAGACATTAGACAAGCAAGGATATTTCCACTTTTTCACATCCAATTTCAAGCATACAACATCTAGTCTTCCACACACAGATGATAATAAAGGGTGCTATAGTGTCAGGAATATATACAAGCTAATCACCACTGCAGGATTGTACCGATACAAGCTTAAACAAGATATAACCGTTCAGGGAGGCAGTTATTTAGCTGAACTAAACAAGTTCTCACTACTGGTTGCTTGACCCAACTGGGATTGCTGATGACGGACTTGTGCATCAGCAATATTGGGGTCAGGGGTCACTGATTTATCTCAACGAAGAATGCATTCATTATCAAGTGCTATGATAAATGCCACAAACTTGTGAGCATTTCCACTTGCCACTTTATATATTTGCCCAACTGAAATGAGAATGTGAGCTTCTTTGGCATGATGTTTTTTTAAATCTTATCAACAATTTTGAAATAATACTGTAAACAATCGAAACATGTCATTTGATGATATCCTTAATTCAAAATATGAAATAAGTTTTTCAAAAATTATAATTGTTTGTGAACAATTAATAATTTGATGTGGTCATATCAACATGCTAAAGAAAAAGTTCAAGCCTGCTGATAAAACTGGAACGAAAATCTATCTTCTGAAAGAATGGAACGAAAGTTTGGTATCGGAAAAATCAAGTGGACTAGATATACACTAAAAGTATTTGACACGGCATCCCAGTTTAATGCTTATATGCAAGTACCCACCTTTCAGCTATCACAGTTTTACATACATTACAATACACCTTGACCCTAGTCTACAGACATAAAATAATGATAGAAATACACACATATTAAACATTGCAAATAAACCACGTATCACATTAGAATCACAATGATATGTCAAAGCTTACAGTCTAGCTTTAAGTTAATTCACTATTCAAATACATTCCTTGTGAGCCAAAATTTCTTGTCAAAACAATCAATAATGGATGACGTAAAACAAAGCAACATTTGAAACATTTTATTAAATATTTCCATCACTAGATCAATAACATGAATTGATAACACATCTTCAGGGCATATCTTAAAGAAAGATCTTTGCTAGAACCTTGAAAGACCATTAATTTACCAATAAGGTAAATTCAGTTTCAAAGCCAAATAAAGAACAGATCAAGTTCAAGCATAATCTCATTGACAAGACCTTCGAGACTGCACAGTGAAAAATGGGGATACATAATACCAAACTGTCAAAGCAAGAAAATGATAATCAGTGTATATGTATGATAGAAAATTTGCTTGTTCGTGTGATCGCTGTACAAGTGAATGTATGCTAATATCCTAATCTACATCTTCACTCCAACTATGTACATCATTCCATGTTTCTGTTCCAACCAGTCGAAATTGCATCACACTCCACACAACAACCAGACGCTGTTCAAATAGAAACTATCGCTCTCCTTTCGACATGATCATTCGCTCAGTCTTTCTCTCTCGTCTGGCAACCCAGGTCACTGATTGGTTGACCCATGTCGAGCAGCTGACCAATCCCTCTCCACCTGCTGCAGGAGCTCTTGAATAACTGGCTCCAAATCGCCGTTGAAACGTTCCAACAGCCCCTTGTTCAGCTCACGGTTGCAGAAGCCCATCTCCATCAAACGGACCATGGGGTCAGTGGTCACTGGCGTGGGCTCTTGGGGGCTTGGACCGGTCCACGTGCTCTGTGGGGGGACATAATTGTCCTCTGGGGGAGTCCAAGTACTGTCAGGAGGATTCCAAGTGTTCTTGGGAGGTGTCCAATTGTTCTCATTGGGTTTCCACTGTAAGATGAAGGAATTTGTATACTTGGTAGGCAGAAGTATATTTCTGTCTGCTTTCCTTAATGACTATAATGCAATTAGATATCAAAGTTAATAAGGCGAGACATTTGTTTTTCTGTTATATTCAAATGGATTTGATAGTGAAAAATGTTCTAAGGTGCATTCTACTGAATGGGGTTCTCAATTCCCACCAGAAAACACAAATACCTGTTTGGCCTGCATGGAGTTGAACACATCCTTGGTGGTACTGTAGGCCTTGGCGCCAGCTTTTGTTGCCGCGATGATAGCTGTGTGGAACAACTGGTTCACAAATTCTGAGGGACTGTAAGAAAACAGCACACACTGTAGAGTTCAACCCCTGATATCACCACACTATAATACAGTAAATCTTGAAATATATGTATCTCCAAATTAATGCAAATGCTGTCCCCTCTTCAAGAGCATGACTCAATATTAATGTGACTTCCCTCTTGGGCTGGCTATCAATGTAGTTTATAGCAATCACAAATCATTAACTAAATATCAATTGATTATTGATAAATATAGAAGTAAATTTGAGCAAATATGCCAAAAACAAGTCCAAAAGAAATCAAGACATTTCACATAACTGATGAGAAGTGATACATTCATTCATGGATGACCAACAGAAACAGTGTCCTGAACATACTTTACAAGCAGCCTTTGAATATAGGTCAAACACAAGATTTTATGACAGCTTCAAATAACTCACGTAGACTGAATAGGAGATGTTCCCTCCCGATCCTCTTCTGAGTTCTGATTCTCATCCACCACCCTGGCTGTCTGCATCGGCACAGCCGCAGAAGCTTCTTCCATCTGCTCCTCCTCGTCCTCGTCCTCGTCCTCCTCCACCTGCTTCTGCTTTGTCTCAGTCTCATCCACCTGCAGTTGTTCCCCTTCCTGTGGAGGGACCGGGTCTTCATTTCTCTGGACAGCTGGCTCAGGGTCAAGAGCAGGGGTTGAGACTACATTGGACGTGGTGAGCATTTCGTCCAGCGAGGGCTGAGGAGTGACGCTCGTGTCCTCTGACAGATTCTCATCTGGATGACAGATGCAAGTAAGTGTCAGCATGCTCCATATTCATTAATTATACAAAAGCAACATACATGGCCTGATATGTGTAAACAATGTCTCTAATTTATCATTTGAAAAAGGTATTTAATATTTCAAAATATTTTTATGATCATAATGTTCGGTACAATATATTCATAATATTAAAAAGCTATACAGACATTGATTTGGGAACCACATAAAGAGCTTATCTGGAAATCACCATATTACAAAACAAAGTCACTCAGAAAATAGATACCAATACCGTGTAGATGTTTCCCTAAATATGTTATCATTGCATACTGACATGTAAAACACATAACATCATGTTGAAAGTACTATGATCTGCGCAGATTCTCACAAAACAACCTATGCTGATTCCTACTAGGATTCTCAAAAGATGATCAATGCTGAATGGATCAACCGATTCTCGTACAATAAGGACAGATTTTCAGTCTCACCTGGAACCCCAATCTCGTTCTGGTTGTCATCCACAGGGCCTGCTACTGAGCGTGTGAGCGGCACCTCAGTGTTGAAGCAGTCTGGCAGCGGGACGATGCAGTAGTCGTCAGAGTCATCATCAGACAGAGACAGGCTGCTCAGAGACTCGATGTCAGCTTCATCATATGTATCTAAAACAAAATGTAATTTTTAGAGTAAAATTGATATTTTATACTTATCCTGACTCATGAGGTTCTCAGTTATTAACTTTTCAATGTTTAATTTTCAGTTGCTTTTAAATCTTGGGAGAAAAGCCCATAATATACATAGCATGGGAAGTAAAGACTCAGAAACTTAGGTGCTCATAATATCAATCACTAAAGTATACAGTCCAAACTTCATTAATTACTGCCCATCATGATCTATCAAAACGCAACTGAAGCCCATACCTTTAATCAACACTTGCAAATAAAGCTAATGACTTCTGCATTACTGGCATTGCCTGTCTTCATGTTTAAGGGGCAGTGGGGTAGCCTAGTGATTAAAGCGTCCGGTTATCAGGTTGAAGACCCAGGTTTGATACCCCATATGGGTCCACTGTGTGAAGCCAATTTCTGGTGTCCCCCACCGTGATATTACACATACTGAGGCATGGAGATATACAACGCATTGAGATTGAGATATGTACCTGGTTTCAGCTCCAGACTGGCCATTCTCTGCTGGACATACTCGGTGAGATGAGGCAGGTTATTCTCAGCCTCACTGCCCACCAACTCCACGCTGCTGCTGTTGGACACAGTTGCTGGAATAAAGGGTTCCGGAGCTGGAGACTTGGGAGGACTTACATCTGGAATACATAACCACATATCATTAATGGTCATTGGGATGTATCACTTGTACATTATAGATATTACAGCATAACTAAAGCTACCCAAAACTATACCGGACTGATATACCAAACTTGAGGATAAACTTCAGGGCTTCTTGTTATTGCTTAATATAATAGTTTCCAACTGCCAAATTTCTTTCTGTGGGAAATGTCCCTGTGTCATTATACCTGGATCAGGGGCGGTGGGATAGCCCAGTGGTAAAAGCGTTCGCTTGGCACGATGAAGACCCAGGTTTGATTCCCCACATGGGTACAATGTGTGAAGCCCATTTTTGAGTTCCCCACCATGATATTGCTCGAATATTGCTAAAAGCAGCATAAAACTAATTCACTCACTAACCATACCTGGACAAACTGGTCTTGATTTCACTAACAAAGTTACATTGCTTGGACTACCAGTGTTTCCCTCAGACTTTCTTCCACATTAAACTGACACAGCACTAAACCAAACTACCTCTTATGTTATGTACAATACTCACCAAGAGGCGTGTTGTTGGGGGTTGCTGTCTGAGAGGCCTTGGAGGTCTTCCTGTCTGACAGATCAAGGAACTCAAAGGAAAGCAGGTCAACCACTCCCTCTACTGCAGTTGCTTCACCAAACTTGGGTAGGCCAACTTTGCTCACCGCCTCCAGCATCTGAGTTTCCACCTGTATAGCCACACTTTCTGTGACTTTGACCTCACTCTCATCAACCTTAACCTCACTCTCCTCGACCTTGACCTCAGTAGGTTCAACTACTGCCTCTTCCTTGACTTCTGGGATAACAGCGGCAGGGACAAGCTTGGACGCCATGATGAGAGGAGTTGTCTGTTTCTCTTCTACAGCCTCCAGGAATATTTCTTCAGCTGGATCATCAACCTGAGGCTACAGAGAAGACACAGAGTGGGATCAGTACACAAACAATTTGGCACCCCTTTCCTGATCAAATCACTTCTTCCACTAAAATGAATTTCGACACAAGCCAATAGCAGAGCCATGGTCTTAAGAGACTTGTATAGACAATTTGTATTCAACCAATGGAAAATGTTCCTATGTGGTAATTAGTCATTACTCATTTAGAGACATAAATCAGTAATACTCTTACTCAACAACCATGACACATGTGTTGAGCGCTAATTACTCCCTGAAAGATAACAATTATAATGGCTGATAGACTGTCTAGTCACTCATTGTGTACTCAAGGTCAGTACCTCCTCAAACTTCTCCTCTGGATCTTCTTCATCTTCCTTGCAGACAGCGGCTTCTGCCTGTCCATCTGTGGAGTCCACCATCTTCAGATGGTCTGGGCGTGTTGGCTCCAGGACTTCTTTGGGCTCCACATCAATAGAGCACCAAACTCTGTGGCCAAAGTTCACCCCTCGGTCAAACAGCTTCCAGTGACTCTGGTATCTTCCTGCAATCATCAGAATCCATATGTATCACCTACCATGTATGTGTTTTACTTATCCATACCACTATCATCTGTTACTTGAACTAATTCTATAGTCTAAACCCAACTTTAGGTGTCAACATGAAGGATAGTAACAATACCTGTACTTCATAATTTGGTATATTTCTCATGTGAGTCTGGAACAGTGACTTTGGTCTTTCCCATGTGAGTTCAGACCAAACAGCAATTCAATACTGTAAACCTCACAACTAAATAGGGGAAGGAATGCCATTTGTGATGCAGGCTATAGATATTGTCACTTTGGTCAAACATTGTTTGTTGCTGACAGAAATTAATCATAAACAGGAAGTTTATCTGATGCAAATGTACTTTCTGCAGGTTATCACATGCCTAGGGGCTGTAACCCTGGTGAGCCATTGAACTGCTTTTTTCCTTCAAGGTTTGAGAGATTAAGCTGGGTCTTAAGCCAATTAACAATATTCCAGCATTGTCACCACATGGGATATAAGGGGAAAGATTGTACCAATGTTGTGAATTGAACCTGGACCTTTGGTGACAAGCAAACACTTTAACCTCCAGGCTACCCTACCAGAGAGAGTTAGAGCATGTCATCAGCATATTTTTCTCAGAGGGAGCATACAATATGCTCCTAATCCATGAAAGACTTAACACATACACCTGAAACAGCCAACCATTTCTTGTATGCGAGACTGGCACAGTGTGTGGTGCTAAGGCAAGTATTTGACCCAAATTCATTGCTAACATACAGGTAAGTCAGTTAAAGCCATGATGGTGACCTCATTGTCATCTCACTGACTTTCACAAGACGCATGAAAATACTGGCAGAGAAGTTATAACTGACCTGGGTCCTCTGGCGCAATCAGCTCCACAGTGATGTTCCCCTCCTGGCTGGGGGGCAGGGCAGGGACTGTCACCTCGGTCTTGGGGGCAGGGATAGTACCCCACATCAGTCGCAGCTGCAACAAACATATAACTTCCTGTATATTATGGACAACAAAGATCATCCGCATTTACATCTGAGCATCCAATTCAAGCCATTTAGTGGAAAAACAAAATCAAGTTACAGGCACACTCTGCCTGAATTTTGTATGTGCATTCACATTCTGATCTTGCCAATGAAACATTATTAAAGTTCTTCTTTGCTTGTTTGTTTGTTGTTTCATTGATGTCAGCCTCTAGATAATCAAGTCCAGACATTCCAGTGACTGACATTATGAGCAATGATCCATCCCATCCGGGTACACAGATGTTGGGAATATCAGTTCCATACTGAGTTCTAGGTACAACAGGACACATAACACCTGGTTTAAATAGTGACGGTGGCACCTGAGTGAGGAACTGAATATTCTGAATATTCATCATTACCTTCTGGACGCAGGCTGCATATGCCGACTTTTAGAACAAACAGGGTTCGCCACTCATTTGTTCCAGCTAGTATCAGATGCATTAACAACAAATTCTGTGAATGACTTGTCTTTTAATTGTCCAAATTCTATTCAATATCTATGTTTGTATACTAAATTGATGTATTTATATCATGATTATTTCATGATTACCAATTGCAATGTTATGTATGGCTGCTTTATGAATGAAAAACTGGAGAACGTATGATGAAAAACAAATTTCCCTTGGGACAATAAAGAATTATCTTATCTTATCTTAACTGACCTGGGTGGAAGCTGACCACTGGTGGCTGCCAGTATTCTTCATCCTCCAAGTCTTCTGCATCCTAGTTCCAGGCTGGACATGTGTGTAGTCAGGGATTGTGATGTCTCTCACAAACTCAGCTCCCAGAACCCTGCAATACAGGAACAGAATCACTTTAATACCCCAAAAGCATGGACTGGTGGGAGTGGTTGGTTGACTGACAGGAGCACTTGAACTGCAGCAAGTGGAGTGGTTCAACTAACTGATAGGGATATTTCAGCTGTGGCAAGGGGAGAAGCTGGACTTATTGACAGGAGTATTTGAATTGTGGCAAGGGAATTCACTGGACTTGCTGATAGGGGCATAATTGTGGCAAGCAGAGTTATTGAACTTACTGATAGGGGTACTTGAAAGTTGGTAAGGGGAGTGCCTGGGTTTCGACCTTCTCCTTCTTCTGAGGGTGGTCCTTCATTGCATGGACATCCAGTTTCTCCAGCTTGCGCTTCAGCTTGTCCTCCTTCCTCTTCTGCTTTTCCTGCACCTTCTCCTCACGCTTCTTCATCTTTTCCTGGCGCCGAGCCAACTTCTCAGCCACTCTGAAAACAAGGGGCAACATACATTGAATCTAGCAATGTAATGACATATGTGAAGCATTCAAGCCAGCATGCAGTTTTGTCTTGAAACGTAAAACCACCACATCAGGGTTTTACGTCAGCAGACAAACATGGTGGTCCCGGGTACCCCTAATTATTAGTCTTAGTGGTTTAGAGAACTGTATGTTCTGATAATGTCTTTAGAGCCTGGAATGAATCATTGACCATGTGGACTGATGGGTGAAATGATGCAAGTAACTGCTCTGAAAGAAACAACCAAACACTTGGCAAAGTCATAGATGTGTTGTGGGTACAATGAATAATATTGTGCATCACGCTGGACACATTGAATTTTTTCCTGCATCCACTCTCTACATTTCTGCGTAAAGGACGCACATTTGCACATTGGGTAAAAACCTTACAACATTATATTATTATTATTGTCTTTGTTCAAAACAAATAGTGAAGATCTATTTCCTCATACACAATGCCTGTATCAACATGTTTCCTATCATGAAGGACACATACTTCCTGGCTCGGAGTCGGTCATGCTCCTCGGTGTGTCTCTCAGTGTTGTCTGCATACAACAGGTGTTTCAACAAAGGCACCTTCCGGCCATCCTTCAGCCCAGCGTCCAGGCACGGGCGTCGTAGCTTGATGAAGACATGGTCCTGGTCGTGAATACCCGGCTTGCTCTCACACTCTTCACACAGATCGAAATTAGGGCAGTTGCTGTTAATGAAATAAACAGTTTCATAACCATGGAAATATGATGTTCGTTAGTTGTATAAAGCAGCATTCATTGATATTCTAATAACTCAATCTGGACCAGACTATTCAGTGATTGTCAACTGTACAAATGGGATATGGTGACATGCATCGTTGAAGGAAGCGAGTCTGATGCAATAAGTTGGCTCTTAAGCCAAGCATGGTCACCCCTCATGACAAATGGGTGGCGGAAGACCATTTCTAGACAGGACTTTCATGGGTAATACAAACATGAAGAAGAACAGACATTGCAGTTTCACAATATTCCTAAACACCATGCTGATTTTAACATTAGCTCATTCAAATCATTCAAGAATTATTTCAGTGCACTACATGTAAAGTACACATGTATCCCTGTGAATGTTAAAGTGTTGCCACTTTCTCTTTTCCTGGCCCATAGTTTAACTTACCCACACTTGTATCTTGGTCCGATGATGGTTTTCTGACACTTGTCACACAAAATCTTCTCGTGTAAATACAAAGCTGTAAAGGGAGCATTAAGACCATGACAGATTGTAAATAATCCAAACTAGGCTAGATAATCTGTGGTCAGTACAATGAGTTAATTCCCTACCCTTAGGGTTTTAATGAAAGTCAATCAACCATGTCACTCAATCCAACTACTACACCATTACTTCCATGGTTTTTACCATCGCATCCTACTTCGGACCAATTTCGCTTGGTTAAAAAGATGCATATTTCCAAAAAGTCAATTGCCTTTAGAGATACATAAGTTATATGTAAAGCTCTAGAAATTTGGAACTGGTCACAAAAACCACCTACTCTCCGTGACCAAACTTCCTTCACTTTGCCTGATTTCTGTCCTGTTGTACACAGAATGTGCCAACACTGAGAACCTGGGTTACCCTGAAATCCCAATAAGTCCAAAACTGTCTCAAACACTACCTCTCCACATATTAATACAAATCACATTTAACAAGAATTTAAAGGCAAGTGTACATACGGTGTGAGCTGCGACTGTCCTTGCGATCACGGGCACCATAGGGCCAGGCTGAGTCCAGGCCACGGAGCACCTGCTTGACCGTCTTCTTGGTGACGTCATGCACAATTTCATTCCTCAGCTCTTGCTTCAGCTGAAAGGGAAACGGTCATCAGTACCTTTGATTCATGGACACCAGTCTCATTTCTCTTTGAGCCCATGCCAAACCCAACTAATCAGCTACCTCATACATACAAAACATGAGTGGATGTGGAGGCTGGTTATACAGAGGGACTTGCATGGCCAGGTGGCAGTGTTCAGCCCCATTCACGTGATCTTATCAATACGGGGGACGGTAACCCCTATACTTTAACCTAAGCTAAGATCACTTTACGGTACAGGGCCACAGTAGGTTTCTTTTGAGCCAGACTATTCATGAATTGAAACTATCTTATTTTCATGTTCAAATGACAATGGAGAAAGTTTTGCTCTTTGTATAAGTAATCATAACCAATGACTGTAAACCCTCGAGATTGGGGCCCTGTTTTATAGAGCAATTGCAGCAATAAGAAGACTGAAATTCCTTTACTTGGTGAGTGAGTGAGTTAGTTTAGTTTTACCCCGCACTCAGCAATATTCCAGCTATATGGCGGCAGTCTGTAAATAATTGAGTCTGGACCAGACAATCCAGTGATCAACAGCATAAGCATTGATCTATATTGGGAACCGATGACATGTGTCAACCAAGTCAGCGAGCCTGACCACCCGATCCTGTTAGTCACATCTTATGACAAGCATGGGTTACTGAAGATCAATTCTAACCCGGATCTTCATGGGTACAAAGAATATGACAAAGTTGTCAACATTATCACAGTACTATATCATTCTAGGCCATAAGATATACAAACGGATAACAAGGTGTACTCCCTAATCAATCATCGCTTAATTTTCTCAAATACATCACTGATAACGGACCGTGGTGATTCCCAACACAAGAGATTGCTCAACAGGATTAATACTCACCTTCTCCATGAAATGTACAAATGCTTGGTATGGCATGGCCTCTCCATCTCCTTCATCAGACTTTGTGGAGGACAGTTCTCCCGACTCCTGGTCCTGATTTTCACCAAGTTTGTCTGCAACATGCTTTATCAGCTTGTCCATCTCCTTTGAGGACTGGTCACTGCCCTCAATCTCATAGTAACAAGCTTTCTTTCGTACCACAGGTTCATGGTAGGCAGGCTTGATAGGCTCTGGCAGGATCTGAGAACAAGAAACAAGCCAGCCTTAAATCACAGCAATGTGATATACATTATATCTGGGATCACACTTTCTGAGTAAAGTACAGATTCTAGTACTTGTGGGGGTGAGTTCCATCCAGGTTCAAACCCATACTCTCAGAGTGGGGCACCTAATCGCCTGCACACAAAGGCCTTGTTGCATTCATCCTAACAATGTCCAACTAACACCTGTCTCCCCTACTCACCTGGTTGTGGATGAGACCAGTCTCTTCATCAAACACATGTTTGGGTGTCACCTCGCCAGTCTCGGCAAGCTCAGAGGCTACTTCAGGTTGACTAAAGAACAAGAGAAAACAAATGCATGACTCCTTGTGACAAAGTATCAGTTAACATACGCTCCATATTAGCAAAAGCAAGGGAAGCAACTCATGCCGAATCAGTTTTCAGAAAACAGTTCATGTGCTTGTGAAATGCATACAAAATTAGCTTTCAATAATGGCTCGATTTGTTCAAAACAAATGTACATCACTACATCATGTAGATGTTGGTGAAATTGGTTCTCTTCTCATTTATCTGATGTCACATGTACTATGATGTAGGTAATAGTTTTTCATGCTTTACAACTGAAAATGGAAATCAAGAATTTGCTGCAGACTTTGGGTCGACTATACGTCTCTGAGGAGGCCATGAAGAGTCTCTGAAAACTGTACTGCATAACAGCATTATGCCTCTGATGTTTATTTGTAACTGTCACTTCCATCAGTGTCTATAAATCATCTATACACATACTTCTATCAGTGTCTATACATAGCATGTTTATCCCAGTCGGAAGCAGTAGTCTGCTTTTGACACAACATACACAAATCAACTCTAACATGACCTCACCTGTCTGTGTGCTGCGTAATCTGAATCTCCACCTTCTCAACTTCCTTCGGTGCTTCAACAATGGCCTCTGGTTTAGCACATGCCAGCTGCACAGTCTCTCCAGTACCGGAGACAACAGGCTCTGTTCCTCCTTCTCTGCATCAGTGAACAGTGAGTGAGGGTTCACATGGATCATATGGACTTCTGCTGGATCATAATCATTGTCCTGGTCCATGGTCTTCACATTAAGCTGCAGCACATTAGCTGTAGTTGATGCGTCCTGCAAACAGAGAGATATGAACTCATTATGCCCCTTACCCAGTGGCGACATTTTTCACATGATATTATCAGATTACTAAAATTCCTCTATGTTGATAGATTACTTCTAAGATGCCTGCATCTTGGTCAAGGGATGGTAACCAGCCATCCTCGATAATCTCCAAGGTATATGTTCCGATAAATCTAAACTAGTACCCTGGATGCATCTACGGCTCGGACTGATAATTGTATTACCTCCCTTTGCTGGCTTTTTATCCAATCATGTGTCTACGCTGTGAAGTTCAGCGTACCAATCACAAGACTTCTATCATAACTCACTTTCGCTTCTTCCCACAGCGGCCATCATCTTTGCTGACACTGGCAAGCTTGGTTGTAATGGCTTATCTGATTGGCTACCATGAAAGGTTGAGCCAGCAAAGGGAGGTAATACAATTATTGGGCCGAGCTGTAGATACATCCAGGGTAGCAGCGGAGATTTATCGGAACATATACCCTGGAGATTATCAAGGATGGGTAACCAGCAAGGTATGGAAATCTGTGAGAAATTTCACTGATAATCTCCTGTTTCTCATAATGAACAGATGACTTTCTGAGGATACGATTCCATCCCAAGATTACGGAATTCATACTTTAAACTCTTCTATATACTGCTGCTGCCTAAATAATTCTAGTTTTCTCCCTTGAGTCTTTCATTTTTAATTTACTTCACAAAACCAAATGACATAAATATACTAAACTTAGAAAAAGACTCCAGAGACAATAATCAATAAACTGATTGATCAACTGGTTTAAGTTTTTTATTATTGTTTTAAATATTTGAGTTTGGATACAGATAACATTAATCTCATCAAAAACACATCTTGCGAAAAGAAGATCTCAAGACGTCCCTACATGGTTCAGATCACAATGACCTTTTAACCATCAAAATGGTGCATTATTTACTGGACCAGGTAAAATAAGATCCCAGATGTGTTTTGCAGTCATGAAACCAAAACAAAATTAACACAGGGTACTCAGAACGAAAGTTAATCAACTTAATGGCCCCTGTGACTGAAACATCAGAAACACTGCCTTTTGTTCTCTTTGAAGGGAAAAACATTTCAAACTTAACACAGCTTTAGTAGAAAACAGTGTTTAACAATACTTTAGAAATAAACTATACTTAACAATACTTTAGAAGATAAATATGTGTAACAAAGCTAAAGAGAAGAACTATCCTTAATAATGCTTTAGACGAGAGATTCTAAAGAGGGTTTAGTAGACTTAATTACTTACCCTGAAAGCTTCTTGTAACTCATCATCGCTGCTTAAAATGCACTGAAATTAAAGGAGAGATGTTACGAAACATTTGAAGAATCATCTCAGACTGACAAAACATCAGAAAAATCAGCATGGCTGCCTTGTTTCATTATGACATGGCAAAATGTGTGCTTTACAAAACTAACAAGAAGACAAAGTCATAAATATCCCCTGCAATGTCAAAATACTCTTCATGAATATGTCTACGAGTTATGATTATGTCAAATGTTTTGGTGTGTATATAGCTAAGTGGAAGGAGAGTACTGAAAGGTTTCAAAGTTCTGCTCCAGAAAGGAGCACAACCACCAATTTCAGTTTAAGTCAAACTTGTTGCCATGGAAACGCCAAAAATATTTTATCAGAAATCCAAAACTACCAAAAGGCACCAGTTCCCCACCAGACCAATCTGTGTGCCAAGTTTGGTGAAGAACATTGAATGGTTTTAGCGTTCTGCTCCGGAAAAGAGCACTACCACCAATTTCAGTCTGTCAAACTTAATGCCATGGAAACGCCAAAAATATTTTATTCAGAAATCCAAAACTACCAAAAGGCACAGTAGATCACCAGATCTGTCCATGTGCAAAGTTTGGTGAAGAAATATTGAATGGTTTTAAAGTTATGCTCCGGAAAGGACAAATGTGCACGGACGCACGCTCAGACGGACAGAGTCCATTTTAATACCCCCGCAAAACGTGTTCGGGGGATAAATAGCAGTAGATCCTTCTGTCAGGGCTCGATTTAAAATATGTTAACCTACTTGCACCAGGTGCAACCTAAGATAAAAACCTAGTTGCACCAGCCAAATTCCAGTTGCACTGCTTTTATTGCAATATGTACTGTAAGAAATATGCTATTGAATTATTTAGATGTTTTATTCAGAGTTTACCCACTAAAAATGAGCTGCACCTGGTGCAAGTTCAACTAATAACTAGGTTGCACTTTGTAATGCTGGGTTGCACCAGTGCAAGTAACAAAGCACTAAATCGAGCCCTGTTCTGTACATGTCAAATGTGATGAAACTGAAGCAAACACGACACTCATGCAATGTCTCAAACTAAGAAAGGTATGATACTTTATTGATGGTAACTTCTTTATCATATTATGATGTGACATTTTGGTATAGATTCTTATGATATCGCTGTCTTGCTTGACAACGGTATAAGAATCTACACCGAAACGTTGCATTATAATATAATAAAGAGTTGTCATCCATAAGGTATCTTACCTTTCTTATTATTTATCAGCTTCTAAAACAAACAGATCAATGTCTGAAACTATTATGCATAAAGTCACCAACCAGGTCCCCATCTTCATCCTGGTAGCGGACATCTAGCTCATCGGGCTGGTCATCATACAGAGCCAGGAGCTGAAAGAGAACATCACATGTGAGTAGATGAGGTGACATACCTAGGCTCGAGATAGTGAGTGAGTGAGTTTGGTTTTACGCAGCTTTTAGCAATATCACAGTGGGGGACACCAAAAATGGGTTTCACATATTGTACCCATGTGGGGAATCGAACCCTGGTCTTCAGCGTGATGAGCTGACGCTTTAACCATTAGGTTATCCCACTGCCCCAGACTACAGATAGTGTATTGGGGGAACTGGGTTAGCCTAGTGGATAAAGCGTTTGCTCACCACGCCGATGGTCCGGGTTCGATTCCCCGCTTGGATACAATGTGTGAAGCCCATTTCTGGTGTCCTTTGCCGTGATATTGCTTGAATATTGCTAAAAGTGGCATAAAACTAAACTCACTCACTCAATATATTGAGACTTAATTATCTCCTCTGAGATTACCATTCACATATGTGAGCACTAGATTTTCTTCGGTATTTAATATACTGTAACTATGTTGGGTGATGAATAATGGCTCATGTTTCATTTGTCTTCGGGTGTGTGTATTATATTACATAAATCAGTACATGATTTCTTTCAGTCGTTAATATGTGACAATGTTGTACCTTCTTAAATAGTTTGATAAATCAAGGCAACTACACTGATTATATTGAATCTCTCTCATCATGCTAGACCACATCTCAATTGACTACTTCAGTTCATGCAATACAATTTGGTGAGCTATGAACCTTATAATCTCAAAATTGTGATTTTTCACAATTGTTTAAATATCGCATACTGTTGAAACCAATTTCACATGTTTAACTGCTCGTGATTATTTTATCAAATTACCTAAATCCAAATGCAATTGTGATAGGTTTGATATATTTTCTCACATAACATCATCAATAGTTGCAGTCTACTGAAAGGGGCGAGTTGTGACCCAAATCCTATCAACTAAGGGAAGTAACCATCTATTTACCAACGTCAGCTGTGCAAGCTAACCAACAAAAACTATGCCACAAAACTTTCGATTTGTTTTGTGTTTAAACAGAGACATGCTTAAAAGTTTTATAATAAGAGAAGAGTTCTATAGCACTGTCCTAGAATTATTCATATTTCCTTTTCTGAGTTGGTTTCAGTCACTACTTCCTTGTTTAGCTACAATGATGATCCTACTTGACGCAATCACTCAAACCAAAACAGATTTACAAGAATAGAATTGGACTTGTGTGCATGGTTCACGACAGGATCTTCATGTTTATATACCTATTTTAACAAATCCTACTGTCATAGTATCAATCCACATCCTCATTGACATTCAGCATGAATATATACTATTCATACTTTGCTAAGGATCAAATCAAGGATTTAACAGAAAACTATGAGGTGGGGTCAAATTTGGTTTAAATATCTAAGCTTATTGTAAGCATGGATCCTAGGTTTCAGTTTGTCATTTCGTCTTGAGGAACCCATACCTGCTATTGACAGGTGTTATGTACTTGTCAATGACTCGTTCCATGATTTTCAAAATGGTTGATTGGTGCAATGAAAACAATTTCTATGGTTACTCATGTATCAAGTGCATAAAGTTAGATTAAAGTGACTGTTTGCCTAAAGAGGGGTTACCATATTATTATTTATCCAATTTCAAATTATAAATCTATATTTAAGTAAAGTTGTGAATGTGTGAGACTTAGCAAAGTGTGAGTTGTATATAACAACGTGCTTAAACAAATTGAGATCCAATAACCCCAACATCAGTTTAAGTTTGTTTGTTAAAACCACAGTGAGCAATATTCTAGCTTTATTATACAGTCAGTAAATAAACAAGGCTGGACTGAACAATTCTGTAACTGACATCATCAGCATAGATCTATGCAAGGTGGATATAATTACATGTATTAAGAAAGTCAGTGAGTCTGATCCTATTAGTTGTGTCAAGCATGGGTTACTTAAGACCAATTCTAACCTGGATTTTCATAAGCATACTTGTTATGGCTATGGGTAACTTGGAAGTTCAAGTGGTCACACTTGTTTACAATATATCTTTGTACTGGGAGAAAATTGATCTGTCACACAGACCCTGAAACAAATATACCCAATTCAACCCATGCAAGTTGAGAATACATTGCAAGTCAAGATTACTGCAGTTTTCAGTATTTATTCTGAAAATGAAGAAAGTCTTATGAAAATACTATAGGAATATTTTTTTCTCTAAAAATATGTTTATTTCAGAGACTAGATGTTAATCTAAGAGACAATTGTCAGTGTTAGTCCTCCTGCCTACTTCAGATTACCACTGGAACAGTGAGTGAATTTAGTTTTACACTGCTTTTGGCAATATTCCAGCAATAACACGGCAGGGGACACCAGAAACCACTGGAAGATGTAGTATCAGGGAAGTGCATGTGTCTAACCCTGATCATATGCTTCAAAATGGCAATTTGAAACAAACAGTCTTTACTGTGATATTCAAATTCTTTATTCGCAGAGTGTATGTAGGCCATCGGCCCATAATACAAATATTAAATGTTTGCAGCCATTTATGATTGGCGGTGCTTTACAGCATAATAAATAAACATTGCTACATTTCTGATGACAAAGGTATTGTTTGAGGTCATCAATATATTGAAATTTGACAAAGAAGAGTATGTGTAAAACTTGGCAGGAATATATATACTGTACGCAAGTGCAGTAGTGCGCAAGGAACTGTATGCAGTACACACTAAAAGGAAATGATACTCGTTTTCTATATATCCATTGTCGCATATGTTACATAACCTGTGATGTCTGGGCTTATTTGTGTATCTACCTGTCTCAATATTTAATTGATGGGAACCACAGCGAAACTGTGTGAGTGCAATGCGAAATTTACTAATGTTAATAACACTAAGATATGGTTCCATAGATAGATGACACTTGAAAAGAGAAAATGAATAAGTTTTAGAACTTGGGCAGTGGGGTAGCCTAGTGGTTAAGGCGTCTGCTCGTCATGCCGAAGACCCTGGTTCTATTCCTCACATAGCTACAATGTGTGAAGCCCATTTCTGGTGTCCCTCATCGTGATATTGCTGGAATATTGCTAAAAGCGGCGTAAAACCCAACTCACTCACTTTACTGTGATACTACCAATCATTAAAATTGATTTTGGTGACACATATTCAGCAAACAAACAACAGTGTCACACTGAGCTGATGGGACATCAGCCAGACTGGCTTCCTGAATGCTATATATTGCTGTCATTATTGCTTGCAAATTGTCCTAATTTGTAATTCATTTCAATACAAAAAATATACTTAGATATGTATTTGTGGACAGAATAAAAATGCAGGGATAATTCAACTGAAATTTATATAAAACTAACTGTTATAACAAATTGTATTGGAAAATGCGAGATGACCCCACCCATCATGCTCATGTTTACTTTCAGCTTTCCACTGGCACAGACTGTGTCAACTGACTGGATGATTGTCATTGAGGCGAGGCTCATTTTAGCTTTATTTACACAACATGTATAGTGTGAACAAGTAATTTGGATACAATAGAAGCTTACACAGCAATATAACTCTTGGAACAGATAACCACTGGTGTTGTACTGGTGTTGTTTGATAGTACAACTTTTCATTTCATTTGAAATAATTGTTCCAAGTGAGTGAGTGAGTTTAGTGTTAAGCTGAGTGCGGCATAAAACTAAACTCACTCACTTGGAACTGTTATTTCAAATTAAATGAAAAGTTGTACTATCAAACAACACCAGTGGTTATCGGTCTAAAACTTGCCTTATTCGCAGCAATTTACGGTATATGGATTTCTAATTCAACTACTAAAACTAGTTTTCAGCACGGTAGCACCAAGTTACTGATTTGTATATTATATGACTTAGTTTTGAGGGGTAGTGTGTGTGTTTCCAATCAACAATGATCCAATGAAACCTGGCTGCTACTAAAAAATATAACAGCTAATATTACCGTAAGTGTACACAACTATTTATCATATGTCTGTCTAAGGTTAGCTTGTACTTTGATAACAAAATGACATAAAATGTTAAACAACAGGTATGAAATGCTCGAACTGAAAACCAACATTGAATTATGAAACCTGAACCCTTCATAAACAAAACAAACAAGGTCCCCTCACTGATTGTATGAAACCACACAGAGAAAATGTTTATTTACCTTGTTGGATTTCACAGAATCATACGCCAATTTATAAATGACTGAATCCTGTTTCCAAAACATGTAAAAACACTGACAATGACATCTTCGCAGGCAAAATAGTTGGGTTTTACGCAGCTTTTAGCAATATTCCAGCAATATCACGATGGGGGACAAAAGAAATGGGCTTCACACATTGTACCCATGTGAGGGATCGAACCTGAGTCTTCGGCATGCCGCAGACAAAATAGAACTTGAATGACCTTTTGCATATTTTGTACATGTGAAGCATAGTCCATTGGGTCAACAAGTACATGACTCTTAGGGCCAAGATAGTCGTAAGTGCCATACATTAACATTAACTTACGACTATCTTAGCGTTAAGAGAGCTTCGAAAATCTAGGCCCTGGATAGTAAACCTTGTATTGAGTGATTGTCACCTCGACACCTGTCCACAGTGTGACAAGACCAAAACAACCAGCAGCCATATAACTGAGATATACTGCTGAGTCATTCGTCACACATGTCAGAAGAGGTCAGTTCCCACAAAACAACAAATTTTCATACAAATAACTCTGCATAACAACTCAGAAACCATGTCATATGGAATGTAACAGAAATGTTCCATCTTGCAATATTTATTACATATATTCAAAAAAATACTAGACAGGGACCACAACTTTCGCTCTGCCTCACCTCACTAACAATTTTAACAGGCAAAATATGAATTGTGTTAAACATCGTACCTTTTAGTCCTCTCATAAAAGTCCTCTTGTAAGAAAGGACTAAAGGTTATGACGGACATGTGACAACTCTTTGTGGACTCACCCATAGGATCATCAAAATATTTACCAGCCTGTGCATATTTCAACTAAGTGATCTTAGTAGTAAGACGATTGTAACTCCCATACTTTAGCATGACCTTTCATGAACCGTAGCACAAAGATATCTTTGTGGAACAGGGTTTTCGATGTCCCAACCGGAAAAAATATACCTTTCCCAATGGTTGTCATGCTTCTGGATGACCCGTCCTTAGCTGATTCCCTGTACTTCTAAACATGAGCAAAAATGGACACCAAAACATAACATTTTGTGTGTTTTATCAAATGGCCTATATCTTAGGCATATCACGTTTGAGTAAGCTGATTGGAACTTTGCCAATATATATGAATGCTATGCTTTGTAAGCTTGATAAAGAGAAAAGCTGTGGCTGAGAATGTCCTTCCTGCCTGAATAATCACATCCTGTTTCATTTCCCCAGGGTTTTTCTATGGGGAACAAACCAATTTTATATTTCGATTTGACAAAGTAACAGTAATTTATATAATTATTATCTATATTCGGAACACCTATTCCACGGACACACATGTAGCTATATGCCTATTTTTTGTTTACAAATCTTTATGGTCATATATTAACATTATTAAATGTTCACAATAATTTTAATTATAAATGTTCTTTTCCAATGTTCTTAAACAGCTGTTATTAATAGCACGGTCGCCAATCTGATACTGATGGACGTTTTTCACAAACAGCTGACGGCTAGACAACGGCGATCCGGTAAACCTTTGACCTCTTTTGTAGGTCATAACAATCTTCGTGAAAGGGTATTCTTGGATTAATCCAACCGATAAATTGTAGTTAACACTTACAGTACTGTCCTGTATAAACCAACTCGTTACATATATCAAGTAAAATTCAGGACACGTAGCTCTACAAGTAATGACAACACAACAAAATGTCGGCTATCATTGCACCACAAGATGTAAACAAACACTTTTATTTTCAATCTAAGCACCTATTCGGGAACACCTGCATCATATTCCGACAGACCTTTGATGAATAACTGATACGTTATCAAATAAAAGTAAAATCAAACAAATTCAATGAGCTTTAAAGGCATATTTAGAAGTAAGTCTTCAATATTGTTGTCTCACCATCGCTCGAAGATCTCGCCATGAAATGCCTTGGCTGATATAAAACGGCTCGGGCTGCACATCGTCTGATTGTCCCAGCAGCTTCACTGCTATCACTATAGCCTCACTCATTTTCTCTTAATGGCAGATATATCTTTCAAACACAGTGACAACTTGTGTAAGACTGGTCACATACAATAGTTTCAAAGCCCTAATCGTAGATCAGGGAAACCCAGCGGCCATCTTAGCTTCGTGGTCCTAATAACGCACCTTGTACAATGTGGAAGAATATAGTCCAATATTTTGCCTTGGGAGAATCACAGTTATGCATTTTACATTATCAACAGTTTTACGTAGTTGGACCTTAGGAGTCATAAGCGATATATTGGTGTTATAGAAATGTATGATTTGTCATTGATAAGAGTTTGGCGTATGAATATTGCATTTTCCAAAATAACAACAAAATAAGTTACTATTTATAGAACATGACGTGCTTCCTTGTGCCATACGTAAACATTGACACTCATTGGTCACGTGCGTTAGTATCACATCCGCGCAAAGTACATTCTCGAAAGACACGTACAGTGCATGAAAGACTGTTCGACGGCGAAAAGTAATTTAAAAGTCTTATATTTAATTGACCAAGGTGACATAATTGTACGTAAGAGCAATACAGTACCCCCCTGTGCTTTTTGTAAAATATCTCATAAAAATCTGTATGAAATTCACGATAGATATAGGCCCTAAGGAAACGAAGCGATCGCGACATCCATTTTGGCATTACAGTTGAAAACGCTTTTTAGTATTTGTTATAATTCAGGTATTATTTATTCAGGGTTCAGTGGATATTTGTATTTAACGCTGATATTAACAATGCTTCAGTTATTTCACGGTCTGTCAGTTTTATGGGCGAGGTTATGCACAGCTAAGGGAGACAACTCTACTTTGTGATTATACCGCCAACCCTTTCGCGAGAGTCGATGTGATATACATGGCTAACACTAATTGCCAGGCCTTAAAGGTAACCTCTCAAAACCCCTACATTCCATAACCCCTACAGCTTATAACAACAAAGTTCATGGTCCAGTGCACTGCTAATCTCCTGATTTCATACAATGGACCAGCCCAAACACTTAGAAATTAAGAGAATGATTTAAAACTTAGAATCAAACTTAGATATTTAAATGCATAAAAAAGAAATTTGAAATTACAATCGCTTGTTAAAGTGATTCCCCCCCTTCATGTTTACTGAAATAGCTTGTTTTGGAGAAACTATACCCATCCCCTTTCAGATGACGTAATCAGATGACGTAATCACAACATAAGTTATTCTAATGTTTTCACTTATCCATGCATGATGCCAAGGGTTCAAACTAAATACTGGATGGTCACACAAGTGTCAGCTCTCAAAATATTGTAAACAGTGTCAGCTTCAATATCTGGACACAATGTTTTTGAAAGATTATAATGGGGGTGAAAAACTGCCCCCATCTAAACGTAAATCATCTCAAATTATTTATCTCAGTTTACTATCTCTAACACTATTACAACTGATATTATTACGATTTGCAAGATCTGCCTATTCACCATGTACACCAGTAAGCTTAAAAAACTAGTTCAACATTTAATTCATCTCAATTATTTAAAATGAATTATTAAAACCCTACCAACACCTTATTCCCTTCTCATGTGTATACTCTATGCAGCTTTATCTCACACTGCATATTCCACCTGTAATCTCTCCTTTGGGTCAGTTCATTATGCCAGACAGGTAAATGTCGTGTGTTGTTTCAACTAATTGTAGGGGTACTGGGCTGTAGGGGGTTTGGGAGACAACCATCTTAAAAATTGTCATGTAATACCCATGTGAGCATCAACCTCGGCTGTGATCCAGGTCCGAACTGACCCATAGCAACCATGCAGTGTCTGTCCTCTCTTATGGGGTTGTCGGATTACAATACGTCGGCTGTAATGTGCAAAAACATGCATCAAATGCGCACATGGTTTACATATTCAAACACATATGTATGTACGCATATTGATTGAGAGAGAGAGGGAGGGAGGCGGGGGAGCGAGAGAGAGAGGTGGGGGAGAGATATGCGAAGTTTCGGTGTTGCTCCTAGCACAGTTATCGAGTAAATAATCCATAAAAGTGTTCCGCTACATCATATCAGCTTCTTAATGCTTCTTCATGGGTGTTCAGCTGATATGTCAGGCAACAATAAGGTCAAACTTGATTCTGGCATGCACAGCGAACTGTAGTGACTCCACTTTCACGATCGCATCTATAGTTGAGTCATACACTTTGTGCGTGACAAAAGCTAGCTACATTGTTTTCAGTTTGCTTTCAAAAACATCAAATGGCGAAATGAAAATTACCATGCTTTAAAAGAAAAATACAGAAAATGAAGTATATTGAAAAGATTCAAAATCTCAACGAAATCAACGTGCAACCGATATTTGCATGACAGTTGCCTGCTTTGAAGGTAATAGACAATGGGCACACACAAGTTTAATGACGCGTCACATTAATAACGCGTATTCATCACCATCCCCTGTAGTCTGTGATACAGACCCTGAAGCAAATATATCCAAGAAAACCCACGCAAGTCTAGAAAATGTGGCAAGTCTAGATTTCCACAGTTTCCGGAAGAAAGTCTTAGGGCTCCTTTTCATTATATTTTATTTTTTTACTATGAACTTTTTTTCAGTAAAATATGTTCATTTCAGAGACTAGTTGTTCGTCTACAGCCCCTGCTACACTTAACGCTAGAACTCGAAGGTGCACAGAAAACGCCAGTCACCTGATGACGTCTAGTGGGATACATTACGTCGCCATTTTGTTGGAGGGTCCTGACCGGATGTTGTAGGATGTGCACGTGGTCCCTGTCGAACGCCAAGATCCATGACACCCCAGAGGTGTCCTACAAGGATATGTCTGTAGAGCAACCCGCTTGTATAGGGTTTAGCGTTGTCATGATGATAAAGGACACAACGTGGCAGCTGTTGTAGACATGGTAGGGCAGGTGGACGGAGAATGTCATCCATCTAATGCTGAGCTGTCAGTTTTCGATAACGATGACCAACGATGTTCTCTCCTGGCCACAAATTCAAATGTTTTACAATATCACGACGTTGTTTTGTTTGAGTGCCGAGGTACCATTTTATCTGGTGTCTGTGTGTTAAATAGGGAGTAGATTTCAGGCGTGTTTTGTGGTTGGTTGGATACCAAAACATGACCGCAGCTTTTATTTATGTTCACAGACTGCCAGCAGGTGATGTTGTCGTCGCCGTGTAAACACGTGTCCCATCACATACATGGTCATAAACAAAAAGGAAACAAATGTTAGTTTTATATCTCTAAAAATACTACTGAAATACGTAACTGTGCATTATTTGATGATATGCCATTTTTTTAATGCAAATTGATAATAACATGATTTGTGGTGTTTTCCTTAATCACTGTTTAACTGTTGAAAGGATAATATAATCGAAACCTGTATGATTTGACACTAGGCCTCGTGACACGCCCTTGAAGAGACGTGGTTTCAAAGGTCAGTTCATAAATTCAGTATCGTGTGCATCCACTATATATTGGCGCTAATGTATGATAGGGATCAGGTCCGGAAAACAGCTGGCCAGGGGAGTACCGGAATGTTCTGCTGTCTCAGGAAATCTGTCACAACACGAGTGACATGTGGATGGGCATTATCTTGTTGAATGAGAGGCTGCACATGAGGCCCAATGACCTCATCCTTGTATCGGCATTGTATTGGCATTGACGATGACAAATTGTGTCCGACCATGAGATGTGATGTCGTCCCATACAATAACGCTGGTCCCACCAAACTGTCTACGTGGACCAACGCACACGTCAGCATACCGTTTACCTCGCCCTCTGTACACCCTTGCCCTGCCACCTGGGCTAGCCAGATGAAATCTCAACTCGTCAGTGAACAAAACACCATCTAAATCTTGTCTCCTGTATCGTTTACGCTGTTTGAACCAGACGTGCCTGTCGGCCGGTGAACAAATTGGACGTATTGCAGGCCGTCGGGTCGGATGTTGTGCTCCCTCAGTCGGTTTCGTTTAGTCCTGGAACTGATTGGACGTAAGCCAGGAATGGTCCGAGCAGTCAAACTGGCTGTCTGGAATCGATTCCATAGATGGGTCAGCCGAATGTGGTTGTCTTGCTGACGTGACGTCACGCATAGACTGCCAATCCGAGGCAAATCTCATTATGTTCCCATTATGTTGAAACGTCTCCTTAGAGATGAGTTCATATTTCGATGGACGCCAAAAATTTAATGTCTGTCCATTTCGTTCTGGGCCATTGAAGTCCACAACATACCTACTGCGCGTAGACGATGATTTTCTGTAAGCCGTGGCATGGCGTCCAAATTAACGTAATTCCCACAACATTCAGATGCTTGAGAATAATCAACCGTTCTTCTGTTTTCAATACCAGGTATGTGAACTTCATGTGTCAAAAGCATGCAAAAAGTGAGTAAGTTCATTGTGGCACAAAGTGCACGTGCCACGCGTGATACGAGACATCAAATTTCATGCAAAGTGTTTTGCTACATGTTTACTTAGGGTTATTTCTATTACTTTTCAATATTTTTAATGCAAGTTTTTGTTCTGAACAGTTACTCTGGGTATACTTTAATATTGTTGACTTAAAAGAAAGGCATAACATAAAATAATGCACAGTTACTTTATTCCAGTTGTATATTTCAAACGTTTCGGACCCACGAGATGCGTTGTTTACAAACATTCCCTATGCCGTTTTGTCATGTTTGAAATATGTGTAAATAATCATTTGCAGAAATCATTTGCATCACTTTCAAACCCTATTGAAACAGTTGAGGTTGATTTCCATTAATTTCAGACCTGTATAAAACTATAAACATAAAATGGATTCATGTTGTTAAAAATTGTGGTCAAAACATGAAGTATTTCCATGTATTCATAATGATGCTTGAACATAATGGAAAGAATCCAATTTTATGTTCAAGCATCATTATGAATACATGGTAGTACTTCATGTTATGAGCTCACATTCCAACAACATTTTTCACATATTAGTCCATTGGTTATGTCGCACATTGGCATAGAATCCAATAATTCCA